AGGGCCCCCGATCAGACTTCACTCTCACAAAGGTTGCTCTGTCTGGAGTGTGGGGGGGGGGGAGGGGGGAGGGCAGGCTACTGAAGGGAGACCCTGTCTGCTTTGTCCCAGCGCCAGGCCTGATCACGGCCCACGTGGGCACTCAGTCAACAGGGAGGGAGGGGGGGGGGAGGGCAGGAGAGCCTGCCTGCGCCCACAAGGGGCAAGTGTGTAGGGCAGGAGGGAGCGTGTCGTGGCCACTCTGTGGGGACAGGATGGCCCCCCGCCCCAGATTTGGTTTGAATGTGGAAACTGGTGATGCCACACCCACCAAGAGGTTGTGAAAAGGTTCCCTCCTCACCTCCTGAGCTTTCTGGCGAAGAACAGGGCAGGTCCCCACGCTGGTCAGAGCATGGCTTGAGAGGTCACAGAAAGGAGACAGGCGGGGCTCTTTGTCAAGGTTGGGGCTGGGGCCGGTCCTGTATGTGGTTTGAACGCCCAAAGGAGAGAGCACCCAGGCTTTTTGGTCAGCTTGCCCAGAAGTGGGCTCAAGTGAGGGGGCAGAGGGATGAGGCATCATGGCTGTGGGCAACCAGCCAGCAAGACAGCAGATTTGGGAGCCAGGCTTTTGATTACAGAATGGCCCACTGCGAGGTGGCACATGACCTTGGCGGGCACTCTATAGAGTGCATCTCCCCTGCCAGATCATATGGCGAAACCCTAGCCCCCAAGATGATGGTGTTTGGGGGGTGCTTTGGGGATGATTAGGTTAGGAGGACAGAGCCCTCAGGAATGGAATGGTGAGATTCCAGAGGGACCCCTTGTCCCTCCCACCTTGGGGGGACATGGTGAGAAGAGGTCCGTCTACAACACAGAAGGGGTTCTCACCAGGACCCCACCATGCTGGCACCCTCATCTTGGACTTCCACTCCCCAGAACGGTGAGAAAGCAATTTCTGTTCTTTATTAGCCATCCAGTGTGTGGTATTTTGTTATATTGCCTGAACAGTCTAAGTCAGTGGTCGGCAAACTGCGGCTTGCGAGCCACATGCGGCTCTTTGGCCCCTTGAGTGTGGCTCTTCCACAAAATACCACGGCCTGGGAGAGTCTATGTTGAAGAAGTGGCATTAGAAGAAGTTTAAGTTTAAAAAATGTGGCTCTCAAAAGAAATGTCAATTGTTGTACTGTTCCTATTTGGCTCTGTTGACTGATGAGGTTGCCGACCACTGGTCTAAAATAAGGATGGGGGTGGGGTGGGAGACAGCCTCATGCATCAGGCACAGGATTTGAGGGACCAAGGGCAGAGCATGTGGGAGGGCATGGACTCTAGGGACACAAGTGGTTCCAGAGACGTGGAGCTGAGAGGGGTGACAGGGGAGGGGAGGGGGACCTGGAGTGGGGCTGCTGGGTTGGCGATGGTGGGAGAGGAGAGGCTTGAGCAGTTGCCCATGCTGGCACCAGTTTTGCTCAGTGGATAGGACGCTGCCTGCAGACGGAAGGGTCCCAGGTTCGAATCCCATCAAGGGCATGTATGTGCCTGGGTTGTTGGCTCTCCCCAGCCCAGGGACAGGTGGGGGTGAGTGCAGAAGGCAACCAATCCATGTGTTTCTCTCACATGGATATTTCTCTCTGTCTCTCCCTCTCCTTTCCACTCTTTCTAAAAACCATTGGAAAAATATCCTTGGGTGAGGGGGAAAAAAAAAGAAAGAAAAGGAAAGGGGCAGAGGTGGAAGAATGGGTGACAGTGGAATTTGGTTCTCAAGTATCAAGAAGGTTCCAAGGACAAGAGGTAACTGGACTTGAATGAGGCTGCTCTTCAACAGAGTGCTCCTCGGGCGAAGGCCCTTGGGGAAGATGGAAGTGACTCGAGCACTTTGGATATGGTCCCATCTCTGAAGATCTCCCAGGCCTAGCCCGGTCGGTGTGACTCAATGGTTGAAGTCATGAAGGTCATGGTTCAATTCCCGGTCAGGGTACATGTCCGGGTTGCAGGCTCTATTCCCAGTGTGGGATGTGCAGGAGGCAGCTGATCAATGATTCTCTCTCATCATTGATGTTTCTCTCTCTCTCTCTCTCCCTCTCTGGCCCTTCCTGAAATCGATAAAAATATACAAAAATTAAAATAAAAATATATTAAAAAACAAAAAGATTCCCAGGCTTTCCTGGGACCTTGCTGGGCACAGCCTTCCTCTGTGCCCTGAATACTTCTCCCTCTTCTCTGCTTCATGTGAGCTTCAGCCTGAGCCCCACCTTCTTCCTTCCCTCCCTTCTTCCCTCTCTCCCTCCCTCCTTCCCTCCCTCCTTCATGTGATCCACAATAGCAGGATGGGCCCCATGAGGAAGGCTAGATAAGGCAGTGAGGCAAATACCAGACAATCCTCTTCTGCATCACCTCTATCGCTTGCCTTCTCTGTGCGGGGCCTAGGTGGATCCCTGGGGGAGGTCAAGGGTCCAAGAGTTGGGGAGAGAGGGAGCATGCCACATTTGGGAGTGGTGACAGGTGACAGGGAAGGGGGGGGGCCCTCAGTGGGTGTGCCATGCTGCCTAGGGGTTTGCCGGTTCCAATGGGTGGCTAGTGAATTATTCATTTGTCAACCACTGCACCCAGGCTGCCTGCCAGGAGGATGGCCCGTGACCCAGGGCTTGAAAAATTCATGTGTTCATTGAGTCATTCCCTCGCCTCATATTCACGGGCACCTACCACTTGCTGAGCCCCAGCCTCTTCACATCACAACAGGCCCAGGGGAGCAGCGAGAGTCCCAGCCGCACTGCTTAGCTGGCGAGCACAGTAGGCGAGGAGGTGACAGGCCGGGGCCAGAGGAAAGAGGGCTATGGTTTGGATGTGGGCACGTGTGTACACGTGTGCACCTCTCTGTCCGTGGGAGGAGTGCCTGATGGGCATGTGTGTGTTTATGTGTGAGTGCATGGAGAACAATGTATGAAGTACATGGATATGGGAGGCTGGGATCCCCAAAGACCCACAGCTCCTTTAGGCCAGTGGTTGGCAAACTCATTAGTCAACAGAGCCAAATATCAACAGTACAAGGATTGAAATTTCTTTGAAGAGCCACATTTTTTAAACTTAAACTTCTTCTAACGCCCCTTCTTCAACATAGACTCGCCCAGGCTGTGCTATTTTGTGGAAGAGCCACACTCAAGGGGCCAAAGAGCCGCATGTGGCTCGCCAGCCGCAGTTTTCTGACCAAGGCTTTAGGTGGGTGCTCCAGGCTCTCTGGGTTTCAATCTCGGCTGGGCCAGAGAAAGCTGGGGAAAAGGACGTGAGGCAGGAATTCCTTCACTGGGCTGAGCATGCGCAAAGACCCTCAGCTGGGTCTCCATCATCTTCAGGGAGCTGCCCTAGGTCCTTGCCATGAGTGGCAAAGTGGTGGCACCTGAGGCTGGTGACCCCACAAGGACTGGCATGTCAGACCTAGGCCGCCCGTTCAGCCTCACATTTTAGGAAGCTGACATTTTGGGCTAAGGAGTAGCGCCCCCAAAAGATGTGCCCACGTCCTGATTCCTGTGAACCTGTGAACGTGACCTTATTGGCAAAGGGGTCTTTGCAGAAGAAATGAAGTTAAGGATCTTCAGATGAGCCCAGCCTGGATTTCCCTGGCGGCCCCAAATACAATGTGTCCTTGTGTGAAGGTGGAAGCAGAGATAGGAGTGATGTGGCCACAAGCCAAGGGATGCCTGAGGCCACCAAAAGCTGGAAGAGGCAAGAAAGGTCCTCCCCCAGAGCTTTCGGAGGGGGCACGGCCCTTCAGGCACCGTCTCAGACTTCCGGCCTCTGTAATTGGGAGACGGTAAATTCCTGTTGCTTTAAGCCCGCAGCTTGTGGTCATTGGTTTCAGCAGCCATGGGAAACAGCTGGCTGAGGTGGAGAGAAGACTGGGGGGAGCTGGTGGGGTGGGGGTCTGAGGAGGGGAATGAAGGCTGGGGAGGAGGAGTTGGGGGGATGGAGCCATCAGGAGGTGGAGCCTTGTGCCCCTGGCAGAAGGGCTTGGGAACAGTGACTTTTCCTCTCACCTTCCCAGCTCTCTCAAATCAGAATGGTCCGAGTGCCACACACACCTATAAGGCCTGATGCACCATTTCCTGTTTGCGCCAGACACCAACGAAACGTGGCATGGCTCTGTGAGTTGAACACTCAACATTCATCCGGCAAACACGGGAAACTTGCTACTGCGGGCCAGGCTGGGAAGGCGAGCAGCAACCAGATCCCCAAGGGCTGCAGGGGATCTGCTGCAAAACGGAAACAAACACCCCTAACGCCCTCATTCTGCGTGCAGCACCTCCTAGGGCCACCTCTGCACCCCAGGGCGCTAAGGCAAACCTGGATTTGGCTTTTAGGAAACTGACACCGAATCCCACGCCATTTCCTGTTGGGAGCCGCCCAAGTCTCAGCGTGAACTCCCGTAAGCGCCCTGCGCCTGGGGCCGGGCTTGGCAGGCTCTCCCCGTCCCGGAGTGACACCTTTGCCGGACCCCGGCTCAGGTGCCTGGGGGTGACCTCGTTGCGCCCTGGAGGCTCGGGTGTGCAGCTCCCTTGGGTTGAGCATGTGACCTTTGGGGACTGGGCTGCGGGCCCCACGTTCCCAAGGGCAGGGCTAGAGGCGAATGGGGGCGGAGCGTGCGGGGTCCCAGGGCGTGACGCGTCCTGGAGGCGGGGCCTGCGTATTCCGGGGGCGGATCTAAGGCTTCGGGGGCGGGGTTCAGGGGGCGCGGTGGGCAGCCCGGGGTGCGAGTGGCCAGGCTGCAGCGGCCTCTGCGCCTGCGCCTGCCCGGGCTGGAGCCTGCGCCCGCTCCTCCTCCAGCCTTCTGCGCGCCGCCGCGCGCTCGCCCCCGGAGGGGGGGGGGACCGGGGTGGCGGGCCGGGCCGGGCCGGGCGGGGCGGGGCAGGTGGGGCCGCCGGGCGGGGCAGGGCGGCCGCGCCCGCCGCTAGGACCCCCGCCGGCGGCGGCCACGCGCTGGGGACTCTAGCCCTTCCCGCCGGGGGTCTGGGGCCTCCGGGCGGGGCCCCATGGAGGACCTTAGCCAGGACAGCTGCGGAGGGGAGGACGCGGCGCCGGGCGCCAAGGGGTGGCCGGCACCCCAGGCGAGGGTGCACTTCCGTGTGACAAGGTTCATCATGGAGGCAGGTAACCGTGGCCGGGAAGAGAGTCAGTCCCGCGCGGGCGGGATGTGGAGGCCAGGGTCTGCGGGTTGCGGGGCCCCGATCCCCCGAGGAGAGGACCTGCACCACGCGGAGTCCGCGTGGCTGAGCTGGGGGAAGAGATCCGGCCTGAGCTGGGCCTCTGCCTTCCGCCACGCCCTGGGTACTAGGCTTTGAGTTGCAAGGCTGACGCGGGCATTGTCATTTCACCACCCTGCGCTCAGGCCCAGAGAGAGGAACTGGCCCCAGCTAGAAGGGGGCCGAGTCGGGGTGCCTGCAGCTAGTTGAGTGTCCTGTGCCTTTTGCCACTCCTGTCCCGCAGCACGCAGGGCCACTGATGGCACTTGGTTGCACCGAGCCTTTTTGAGCACGTGCTTGCAGAGGCTTGTGACAATCCTCCTTGCAGAGATCCTGTCACACCGGGTACCCAGGGCGCCCGCGGCGGTTTTGGGCGCCCCTGATCCCAAGTTAGGCAAGGAAACAATCGGATTCCTGGAGCGGCATTGTTCAGCTGTCAAAAGTATCTAAATCAGCTGGCAGGCGGTTACTTTCAGTGTTTGTTACTTTGTGTGCACTTTGAAGGAGAGGGGGGTGGAAGGGTCTCAAGTCAAGGCAGGCAGTTTGTGGAAATGATGCAGAGCCATAATATTTCTTTTAAAAATATATTTTATTGATTTTTTTTAACAGAGAGGAAGGAAGAGGGATAGAGAGTTAGAAACATCGATGAGAGAGAAACATTGATCAGCTGCCTCCTGCACACTCCCCACTGGGGATGTGCCCACAACATGCCCTTGGCTGGAATCGAACCCGGGACCCTTCAGTCCGCAGGCTGACGCTCTATCCACTGAGCCAAACGGGTTAGGGCAGAACCATAATATTTCTAAGAAGAGTTGCAAAGTGTATTGGGTAGGGTGGCAGTGTCCACTCAAATGCTCTATTCATCTGCTCCGAGGGTCCATGTAATCCAGGAAAGCAAGCTGCCTTTTGAGAGTTGGCTGCATAAAACAAGACTTGGTGGAAGGTCAGAGGTCAGAGGCAGCAAAACCACCGTATTGACATCTCTGGAATATAAAGGGTCCCCTGTAGGAACTGTTGATGTAACTGAAGTTTAATCTTTTTTTTAAAAAAAATATTTATTGAATTCATAGAGGAAGGAAGACAGAGAGAGAGAGAGAGAGAGAGAGAGAGAGAGAGAGAGAGAGAGAGAGAGAGAGAGACATTAATGATGAGAGAGAATCATCGATCAGCTGCCTCCTGCAACCCGGGCATGTGCCCTGAATGGGAATTGAACCATGACCTCCTGATCCATAGGTGGATGTTCAACCACTGAGCCATGTGCTGGCCAGGCTGAAGTTTAAATTTTGAGATACTTAAAGCTCTTTGGGTATCACTTTTGAAGGACGTCTCTATTAAAACATATTGCTTTTGCCTTCTGTGCGAAGCTGAATACTGGTCCTCTGGAGAAGTTCCCATTCTCAGCCCCGGAACCTGCGGGTGTTACCTTATGTAGCAAAAGAGTCATGATAGCCGAAACCAGTTTGGCTCAGTGGTAGAGCGTCGGTCTGCGGACTGAAAGGTCCCAGGTTCGAGTCCGGTCAAGGGCATGTACGTTGGTTGTGGGCACATCCCTGGTCGGGGGTGTGCAAGAGGCAGCTGGTCGGTGTTTCTCTCTCATTGACGTTTCTAGCTCTCTATCTCTCTCCCTTCCTCTCTGTAAAAATCAATAAGATATATTTAAAACAAAAGAGGACTTAAGCATCTTGCCTTGGGGGAACTAGCCTAGATTATCTGATGGGCCTGGTATAATCACACCCATCCTCAAAGAGAGAGGCAGGGGAGGGACCAGCAGAAGGGAAGGCCGTGTGATGGAAGCCGAGTTAGAAGGTGCTATGCTGCCTGTTTTGAAGGTAGAGGAGGGGGCCACAAGCCAAAGACTGCACGTGTGTCTAGAAGCTGGAAAGGATAAAAAAACAGATTCTCCCCTGGAGCCTCCAGAATGAGCCAGTCCTGCCAAGCACCTTGAGCTTAGTCCCCAAGACTCATTTTAAACTTTTGACCACCAGGATGGTGAGAGGGGGGAAAAAGTGTGTTGTTTTAAGCCACTGAGTTTGCGGTAATTTGTTAAAGTAGCCCTAGGGAGCTGATAGAGTTTCTCAGAGAGGATGTTAAAGGTGATCTCAATGATTGTTGGTGGTTCTCCACTTTCTTTTAATTTATCGGCTGCCATTTAACCTTCTCTTGTTAATCCTGGCCATTTGTTTTGGTTCTCTGACCCATTACAGTGATTTCCTTAGAAGCTCTAAGGGTGGAGTGGAGGGAGAGCTTTAACTCGGAAGCAAACCACCTTGTTATGTTTTTGTTTGTTTGTTTGCCTTTTTGTTTTAGAGAGAGAGGGAGAGAGGGAGAAACATCGATGTGAGAGCCCAGCATCCATCAGCTGCCTCCTGCTCATCCCCTTCCTGGGATCAAGCCTGCAACCAGGCATGTGCCCTGATGCGAATCGAACCAGCAGCCTTTTGGTGCACGGGATGGCACTCAACCAACTGAACCACCCGGCCCGGGCAGCTGTTTTTTGCATTCTGTTCCCTTATCAGTGTGTCCGTTTTCCTCCCTGGGCCTGGCTGTGGCTTTTCTCCTGCTCTGCCTGCAGCTACCTTTGGCAGGCACTCTGCCTGCCTTTTCTAACCTGCAGACTAGGAAACCAGTGTTGAATAAAACCTTTAAAAAATATATATATTTTTTTTTGATTTTTTACAGAGAGAAAGGGAGAGGGATAGTTAGAAACATCGGTGAGAGAGAAACATCGATCAGCTGCCTCCTGCACCCCCCCCCCCCGGGGATGTGCCCACAGCCAAGGTACATGCCCTTGGCCAGAATCGAACCCGGGACCCCTCAGTCCGCAGACTGACGCTCTATCCACTGAGCCAAACCGGTTTCGGCATGAATAAAACCTTTTTAAAAAAAACAAAAAAAACAAAAACATATTTTATGGACTTAAGAAAGGAAAGGAAAGGAAAGGAAAGGGAGAGAAAGACAGAAACATCCATGATGAGAGAGAATCATTGATCAGCTGCCTCCTGCACACCCCACATGGGGGATCCAGCTCTCAAACCAGGCATGTGCCCTGACTGGGAATCGAACTGTGACTTCTGGTTCATGGGTGGACGCTCAACCACTGAGCGACACCAGCCAGGCAAGTATAATCTTTTTTGGGGGGAAGAGGGGTTAAGTTGATTTTTTAAAGAGAGAGGAAGGGTGAGACAGAAAGACAGAGATAGATAGATAGATAGATAGATAGATAGATAGATAGATAGATAGATGGAGAGAAACATCAATGTGAGAGAGAAACAGCAATTGGTTGCCTTCTGCACACGTCCCAACTGGGGATGGATGGAACCTGCACCCTGGTGATGTGCCCTGACTGGGAATTGAACCCCCCACCTTCTGGTATATGGGATGATGCTCCAACCAACCTATCCATACTGGCCAGGGCTTGAGTCTAATCTTTACACTGAGTGGCCAGTTTATTATGATCTCTGAATGCATAATAATCTGGCCACTCAGTGTATATCCTATATAATAAAAGGCTAATATGAAAATTGTTCCCTCGATCAGGAGTTCGACCAGCAGGCAGGTCGGCTAACCATCCATGTCCCCTCCCCCTAGCCAGGCTGGCCAGGCCCCACCCATGCATGAATTCATGCACCAGGGCTCTAATATATATATACTGAGTGGCCAGATAATTATATGTTCAGAGATCATAATAACCTGGCCACTCAGTGCATATTGATCAATTGATTGGATTTGTTGGGGAGACATTGGTTAACAAACCCCAGGACTATAATAGTAACCTCAGGACCTGTGATATCTGTCTGATGCTCAGAGGCTATTTTTCGCTCATCTTAGCAGGATTTTGGTTAGCTGATCAGAGGGAACGTTGCTGATCTCTAGTTAGGCACTTGCTGGCAACACATACACAACAGTGGGGTGGTCCTTTAAGATGTGCAGAAGCTGCAATGCCAGGAGCTACCTGAGCAGTGGTCTCATTGCTTCGCCTGTGTGGTCTGCAGAGCTGAGGCTGGGGGTGACCTGGGGGCGTGGGAGAAGGGCAGGATCTGCTGAGTGACTGGAGCTTTGAGCATAAGACCTAGGGGCCTGCTAGGCTATTAGAGTGAGAAGGCTCGCTCTAAGCCCCTCAGGCCGAGGACTCCAGGAAAGACCGAGTCATTGCTGGCTGCACTGCAAGGTCTTGGTTTTGTCCCAGCAGGTCTGTGGCTTAGGGCACAACCCAGCAGCTCCCTTCACCCCCAGCCCTGGAGGAGGGGGTGGGCTCTGGGTTGAGGTATCTCCTGCCTATGTTCTCTCGGTAGGTGTCAAACTAGGGATGCAGTCCATTCCCGTCGCCACCGCCTGTACCATTTACCATAAGTTCTTCTGCGAGACCAACGTGGACGCCTATGACCCCTACTTGGTCGCCATGTCTTCCCTTTACTTGGCTGGCAAGGTGGAAGAACAGCCCTTGCGAACGCGTGACATCATCAACGTGTCCAACAGGTGACAGCTTCCAGGCCCAGGCCTTTGGGGACATTTCCTGGTGTCCACCAGATGGGGAGGGCAGAGAAGGGTCCCACTGTGCTCTGCCTGCCAGACACTAGCAGTCAAGCTTCGAAGAAAGCACCTGGGTGGCCTTGAACCAGGGCTGGAAGTACTAGCGGCAAAGATGGCAGTGAGCCTGGCCGGTGTGGCTCAGTGGTTGAGCGTTGACTTATGAACCAGGAGACCACAGTTCGATTCCCTGTCGGGGCACATGCCCGGATTATGGGCTCTATCCCGGGTGGGAGAAGGCAGCTGATCAGCGATTTTCTCATGATTGACGTTTCTAGCTCTCTCTCTCGCTCTCTTCCTCTCTGAAGTCAATATTAAAAAACAAACAAACAAAAAAACGTGGGCATGAGCTGGTGTCAGAAGCCTGGAGGGGGTCTGTGGGAACCAAGTTTGGACCAGATGATGGGAAGCCTCAAAGGCCCGGTGGAGTGGGGAGGAGGTTGATATGAAGAAGTCTGGGAGTCAGGGTGAGGGAGGTGAGGGAGGCGTGGCTGGAGTAGAGGGAACTTGGAGAGATGTGTTGAACAAGTTCATCTGATCTAGTGATCGGCAAACTCATTAGTTAACAGAGCTAAATATCAACAGTATAATGATTGAAATTTCTTTTGAAAATCAAGGTTTTTAAACTTAAACTTTTTCTTTTTTAAAATATATTTTATTGATTTTTTTACAGAGAGGAAGGGAGAGAGATAGAGAGCTAGAAACATCGATGAGAGAGAAACATCGACCAGCTGCCTCTTGCACACCCCCTACCGGGGATGTGCCCACAACCAATGCACATGCCCTTGACCGGAATCGAACCTGGGACCGTTCAGTTCACAGACCAATGCTCTACCACTGAGCCAAACCGGTTTTGGTGAACTTAAATTTTTTCTAATGCCACTTCTTCAACATAGACTCGCCCAGGCCATGGTATTTTGTAGAAGAGCCACCCTCAAGGGGCCAAAGAGCCGCATGTGGCTCGCGAGCCGCAGTTTGCCGACCACAGATATGGTCCATTGGATAGGAAAGAGGGTAGTATATGGATCCAGCTGGGCAAATGTCTTATATTTACTTACATATATTTATTTTTTATTATTAAAAATATATATATTTTATTGATGTTTACAGAGAGGAAGGAAGAGGGATAGAGAGAAACATCAATGAGAGAGAAACATCGATCAGTTGCCTCCTGCACATTCCTTCTTGCATGTGCTTGCAACCAAGGTACACGCCCCCAACTGGAATCGAACCTGGAACCCTTGAGTCCGCAGGCCATTGCTCTATCCACTGAGCCAAACCAGTTAGGGCACATATATTTATTTTTAAAGATCTTTTTAATTGATATTAGAGAGAGAGGAAGGGAGAGGGGGAGAGAGAGAGAGAAACATTGATGTGAGAGTGAAACATTGATCGGCCACTGCCTGCACACCCCCTACTGGGTATCAAGCCCATGACCCAGGCATGTGTGTCGACAGGAGTTGAACGAGTGACCTTTCTGTGCACGGGATGATGCCCAACCAACTGAGCCACACCAGCCAGGGCTCCTCTTATTTATATGTAGATGGTGAGAGAAACCCAGTCAGGGCTGCTAAGGAGTGCCTCTCGGCCTAGTGTGGGCATTACCTCTGGGCCCAACTGTGTTCCTGTAGGGCAGGGGTGGGGAACATCGGCCCGCGGGCCATCAGAGGCCTGCAAAAGCATTTGGCTGGCTCTGCCAAGGCATTAGGGCTGAGTTAATGAAATATTTGACCAAATAAAGCAGGCTCATTTAAAAAAAATTTTTTTTATTGATTTCAGAGAGGAAGGGAGAGAGATAGATAGAAATATCATGATGAGAGAGAATCATTGACCAGCTGTCTCCTGCATACCCTGCACTGAGGATCAAACCCGCAACCCGAGCATGTGCCATTTACCAGAACTGAACCTGGGACCCTTTAGTCCACAGGTCAACGCTCTATCCACTGGACCAAACCAGCTAGGGCTAAAGCAGGCTAATTTTTAAGTGGATCATTTTGTATGGCCTGTGAATGATGTTATAAATATCCACATGGCTCTTGGCAAAAAAAAAAAAAAATGGTTCCCGCCGAAACTGGTGTGGCTCAGTGGATAGAGCACTGGCTTGGGGACTGAAGGGTCCCAGGTTCGATTCCGGTCAAGGACATGTACCTTGGTTGTGGGCACATCCCCAGTAGGGGGTGTGCAAGAGACAGCTGATTGATGACTCTCTCTCATTGATGTTTCTAATTCGCTATCTCCCTCTCTGTACAAAATCAATAAAAAAAAAATATATTAAAAAAAATGGTTCCCCATCCCCTGTTGTAGGGGAAGGATGTGGGGTCCAGCCAGTGGGCAGCTGCATTCAGGCCCTCAGGACCCAGGAGAAAATGATTTATGGAAAGTTACTGACTAGCGGGGCCTCATAGCTGTTCCAGGAACTCTAATCATTAGGGAAGAAAACCGTTCTGTGCTATTTCTCTTTTAATAAACAGGTTAGAGAAAAAGCACTCCCACCCACTAAAAGCACAGCAGGTTCACAGTGTACCTCAAAAGATTGAGAGGAAAAGGGGAGAGGACGGCGAGGGAGGACTGCAGGAGTCCACCCATAATTGCCAGGCCCCCAGCAGGGAGCACTGGCAGAGGGGAAATTGTATTGATTGCTAACTAGACATGGGGACCAGGTGAAGTTCTGTGGGAACTGGAAAATGAGTGAGGAGCTAGGAAGCATGAGTCATTGGCAGAGAGGTTTTTAGTTTATTTTTTGAGAGAGAGTGGAAGGGAGGGGGAGAGAGAGAGAGAAACATTGATGTGACAGACACATTAATTGGTTGCTTCCCACTTGTGCCCATGCCAGCCCGGGGATCGAGCCTCCAGCTGAGGTATGTGCCCTTGATTGGAATCGAACCTGGGACCCTGCAGTCCGCAGGCCAACGCTCTATCCACTGAGCCACACCAGCTAGGACCTACCTTTATACTTGACATCTTGCTGGGTGATATGGGACAGCCCATCAGGACTAAAAACTAGAAGCTGGCTTCTCTCTTCCATTGGTTACTGTTTTTATCCTGTACATTAGACTGTAGATGAAGAACAATTTATAAAAACAGAAATAGTGCCCTAACCGGTTTGGCTCAGTGGATCGAGTGTCAGCCTGCAGACCGAAGGGTCCCAGGTTCGATTCTGGTCAAGGGCATGCACCTTGCTTGTGGCCACAGTAGGGGGTGTGCAAGAGGCAGATGATCAATGTTTCTCTCTCATTGATGTTTCTCTCTATCCCTCTCCCTTCCTATCTGTAAAGAAATCAATAAAATATGTATTAAAATACTTCAATTCAGACTAATCCGAAACAACCTTTTTTAAAAACAAACTAACACACACATACACACACAAAACAAAACAAAACAAAACAAAACAAAACAAAACAAGACAAAACACAGAAGTAGCCCTAGCTAGTTTGGCTCAATGGGTAAAGCATTGGTCTGTAGACCCAAGGGTCCTGGGTTCAATTCCAGTCAAGGGCACATACCTCAGTTGCAGGCTCCTCCCTGGCCTGGGCCATGGTTGGGGCATGCATGTGAGGAGGCAACCAATCCATGCATTTCTCTCACATTGATGTTTCTCTTTGTCTTTCCCTCTCTCTTCCACTCTCCCTAAAAATCAATGGAAAAATATCATTGATTGAGGATTAAAACAGCTACAACAATAACAACAACAACAACAAACAACACAAAAACAAAACAGAAGTAGATTCACACTGTTTTTAAAAAAATATATTTTATTGATTTTACACAGAGAGGAATTGAGAGGGACAGAGAGTTAGAAATGTCGATGAGAGAGAAACATCGACCAGCTGCCTCCTGCACATCCCCCACTGGGGATGTGCCTGCAACCAAGGTACCTGCCCTTGACCAGAATTGAACCCGGAACCCTTGAGTCTGCAGGAGCCAAACCGGTCCCGGCAGATTGACACTATGTTAATAGTATCGCAGAAGGATATTGGAGTTTAGATCTGGATAGCACGTGACTTCAGGGACATCACATGACTTCAGGGACTGCTCAGGGCCACTTCCCTGGCTGCCATAAGCACTGCCATTTCTCCACAGGTACTTCCACCCGGGCAGCGAGCCCTTGGAGCTGGACTCCCGATTCTGGGTGATCCGGGACAGCATCGTGCAGTGTGAGCTCCTTGTGCTGCGGGTCCTGCGCTTCCAAGTCTCCTTTCACCACCCACACAAGGTACGGACCTCTACGTTCTTTATACTGGAAGTACACCCATCGAATCCTTGAGAGCACATGGGGGATGTTAGAAGCGCAGGGTCACAGCTGGGCACCGGAGCTCCAGATGGCATGCAGTGACTGGCTCAGGCAGCCTCTCCTGTCCCACTCGTGGAGTTTTCTGAGGTTCTGCCTTTCTGCCCGCTCAGCTGTGGCCACGAGCCGGGATCCGGGCTGTCCTCTGAAGCCCTTGACGATCCCGTGACCCACATACACTGTGCGCTCAGTGAGTCACACGAAACAGGGGTGGTTTGTGACTTGCTAGAGTGCCTGTCCCCAAGACCTGCTGCTCTGCCTGGGAGTTTGCATCCAGTTCAGTTTTTTTTTTTTTTTTAAATTGATTTTTAGAGGAAGGGAGAGAGAGACAGAGAGGACAGAAACATTGATGTGAGAGAATCGCATCGATTGGTTGCCTCGCCCAGGCGCCCCAATGCCAGGGATCGAACCTGCAACCGAGGTATGTGTTCTTGATCACTGGAGGTATGTGTCCTTGATCACTGCACGTATCGGCACCCGTTTGACTGCTAGAACAAATAAATCCCAACAGAAGCACTGTTTCAAACAGCAGCAAAAAGAACACATTAAACCCTTAAAGCATTTGGACATTGTGGGTGGGGGTGGAGGGATTGTGGGGCACTATGCCAGGATTTTGTTTCTTTGTAATTGAATTTTGATTGAGGTAAGTGTAGATATCTAAACAGTTGGAAATAATCCAGAGACTCCCCATTTAAGATAAGACACTTTTCCCTGTCTAGCTGAATGGAAACATTTTGTAAAATGAATACAGTGTAGCAGCCGGGGTGTTGACATTGCTACAGTGCCCGGTTCCTGGTGTCGCCTGGTCATTACCTGTACCGCGCTGGTGCCATACAATCTAATTGATGCTTGTGTGTCATGTATCCACCACCCCAGTTAGATACAAAATAACTCATATCACCTTAAGGATCCCTCATTGTTGCCCCCCCCCCTTTTTTTTTTAATTATCTCACCCCTCCTTTCATCACCACAAACCTACTCCTGGAAACCCCTGGCGGCAATTTTGAAAGTTGAGTTTCCTGGCGCCGGCTCAATGCAGGGGCAAGGCAGGAGGGCCCCTGGCTCTGCCAGGCAGTCAGAGGGCAGAGTCCTGGGAAGAACTCTGGGGGGGGGGGGGCGTGTGACCTGTGAGCGAGCCATGCCTTTCCCTGGCACTGGGGTCAGGGAAGCGGTGGGCGAGGCCCCTCCTCCGGGTGTGCTGGAGCCCCGCAGGGCAGGACTTACTAGTGTGTTCGGTTGAGGTTCAGGCAAAGCAGCCGTCTCCCCAGGGCGGGAGCTGACATAACGGAACTGGAAGTTCATTGACAAAGAGCTCACAGCCCTGGGTGCTGTTGCAAAATGCAGTCACCTGTCTCTAGTTCCCCCGAAGGCAGGGTCCTGTCTCGGCTGGGCACATGGGCACCATGTTCTGTTCTGTAGATGAGGCTTATGTTCTGGAGCTTATGTTTGAAGGCGGTATGGGGGGGCAGTGATGGTGACAGTGGCCAGAGCAGGGCCATGCAATGGAGAGGGATTTCACAGGGGTGGCCATGAAGAGTAGTCCAGGCAGGTTACACGAGTGAGGCCTGGGGGACAGGTGTGGGTGGGCACATGGGGGCTGGGGCAGGAGTGGAGATAGTTTCAGGCTGAGGGATCAGTGAATGTCAGGGCCCTGAGGTGGAGGCACCTGGTGGTCAAACACAGCAGGAAGGTGGGGTGCGGGCGATGAGGCCGAGACGGAGGCCGGGCTCGGATGCCAGCGGAAGGCACCGGGGCTTTATTCTATAACAAGTCAGTGGTCGGCAAACCGTGGCTCGTGAGCCACAAGCGGCTCTTTGGCCCCTTGAGTGTGGCTCTTCCACAGAATACCACATGTGGGCACGCACGTACAGTGCGATTGAAACTTTGTGGCCCACGCACAGAAGTGGCATTAGAAGAAGTGAGGGTGATAGGAGACGCTGTGCATGTGGCTCGAAAGCCGCGGTTTGCCAACCACTGTCCTAAGTGACACAGCAGCCCTGGAAGGTTTGCTCAGGAGGTGACTCGGGCCGATCCGTACTTTCTACACATCAAGACAGCTTTCAGGAGAGTGGCTGGCGGGCAGCGGCAGCGCAGTGCCCCACAGTGAGGAGGTGGGTGACTGGGGGCCAGAGCCCTTCGAGCCAAGAGGCTGACTGGCGTGTCTTTGCAGTACCTGCTCCACTACCTGATTTCTCTCAAGAACTGGCTGAATCGTTACAGCTGGCAACGGACCCCCATCTCCGTCACTGCCTGGGCCCTGCTGCGAGACAGCTACCACGGGGGGCTGTGCCTCCGGTTCCAGGCTCAGCACATAGCCGTGGCGGTGCTCCACCTGGCCCTGCAGGTCTATGGGGTCGAGGTGCCCGCCGAGGCCGAGGCCGAGAAGCCATGGTGGCAGGTGAGGTGACTGCTCAGTGCACTGGCATGTGTCCCCCTTTCCTTTGCCTACGGACTTTCGAAGTCCCTGTCTCTTCGTAGCGATGACCCGGCAGAGAGATGTGGGCCACATGGGAACATGGAAGCTTGAAGATGCCCTGTCATTTCTAAGTCGAAGGCAGGGACGCTCCCCTTAGCACTGCAGGCGTTTGGGGCTGGACCACTCTCTGAGCTGAGGCATCCTGGGCACTAGGATGTTGAGCAGCATTGCTGGCTCTGCCCACTCAGCGCCAGAGGCATCTCCCCACTAGTCGTACCAACCAAAGATGCCTCTAGATATTGCTAAGTGTCCCGGGATCGGGGTCCCCCTCGTTGAGAATTACTGAGTTAAGTCAAGCACTTTCATTGAATGGAGTGAGTGGAAGCTTGCCATAGGTCAGAGGTTAATAGACTTGGCTTCGCATCAGAAGTATGGGGGTGGTGCTTTAAAACAGCAGTCACCAACCAGTGGTCTATGGGCCACTGGTGGTCCATGAGGTCTGAAAGGTTAGCGATTGCTGCTCTAAAAAGATGGAGGGATGATGGCTCGGTAGATAGATGATGGAGAAAGATAGATAGATAGATAGAAGATGGATAGATGGATAGATTAGATGGATGAATGATAGATAGATAGGTAGAGAGCTAGTCAGGTGGATGGATGGGTGAGTAGATTAGCTAGATGATAGACAGGTAGAGAGAGAGATGAGATGATGGTGGGTAGGTTCCCCTGCCTCTCTTAGACCTGCAGAATCCAAAGTGACATTTGTAGAGAGCAAGGTGACATCTGTCCCTCAAAAGGGCTGTACTCAAGGACTTCCGCCCTCTGTCAGATTTCCCCCGAGTGGCCCCCTTATTTTAGAATGAGATTCTGAGACTATTTTCTGTTTTTTTCTTTTCTATACTTAAAGTCTGCTGTTCTTCTCTTCATAACACCTCATTGTCTAGCCTTGGTCTAGGACAAGCATGTCAAACTCAAAGGCAAGCACGGGCCACATAACCAAGGTTGAAGTGTATGCGGGCCGCAAAACAACAAAAATTTCCATTTTCATAGAAACGTAGGTTTATTTCGATAGAGACACGCTGAATACAAAGGGCTGAAATACACAAGTCATCGTTCACATAAAATGACAGAACATTTTAATAAAAAGTAATACTTTTTCTTGAACATTCACTTGCCAGACACTGAATAACTGCACAAATTAATAAGTGTCACGCAAATAAACCTATTTTTCTTATTCTCCAAAAGAGAAATATTTCCTGCTTTGAATGCCAAACAAGTCAGTCCAAGACTAAAGACGTGGCCATCGGCTCTAAAATATTCACTGCTGGTATGAGTGGAGAGAAATGGTGCGCCTGCATGTAAGGTGCATAAGGGAAATGAATGCACCATGATTATAGTCATCAGTCATTAGTGATCATTGTAGTTCATTATTAATAATCTATAATAATAAAAGTATAATATGCTTATTAGACTGGACGTCCTAATGGACGAAGCCAGGGCTGCGAGGGCCAAGCCCCTTGTATGAATTTTGTGCTTCGGGCCTCTAGTTATGTATAACAGGATGTTGTAAAAATTAAGTTACAAAATGTTTATTAAAGCATTTCTTACATGCCGTTATATTGGCGAGGCTGCAAACATATTTGTTGTGGGCCGCATGCAGCCTGCTGGCCTCGAGTTTGACATGCTTGGTCTAGAACAGTGGTCTGTTAACTAATGAGTTTGCCGACCACTGACCTAGATTCCAATAATTACAGGCTGTTGTTGTTCCTAGTGATTAAGTCCCTATTCCAGTGGTCTCGAGCCACAATTTGCTGACCACTGGCCTAGAATAAGGTTCTATGTAAGCAGAATTGGAGGTAACCAGAGATGTCTCCTTTTGGTGTACCCTCCTCCTGCACAAACCCACAATGGCCAAAAATCTTCTAAATGTGTCATCGATGATCTATTTCCCATAAGGGAGTGTGCCCCATGGGTGCCATCCTGGGCCAGCTCCTCGCTACCCCTCTTTCCCCCTCCTCCCTTGCAGCTCTTGACTTACATGGGGCCTCCCCCTTCTTGACACTCCCTCCCCGCGGTCTGCTCGCCCTCCATGGGAGTCCACAGTTTTTCCTGCTCTTTGCTCTGCTGGCCTTTATTGTCTATCAAATTCCCCCAACCGCCCCTTGCCAGACTATAAGCGCTTGGAGCCTGGGGGTTTTGTCTGCTTTATCAACTGCCTCGCGTCCAGTGCCTGGACCTGGCATACAGTAGGTGCTCACATGTCTGAACAAATGTATCCATAGTCTGATCTCGGGCCAGATGCACCCCCATAGCATGGCGATGGAAGGGCATCTGTATGCACAGAAAGTATTGCTCCATGCATGGGCTTCTCGGGGCTCCCAGATCCCATGCCTGCAGTGCCCCTGCTCTGTTGCAATCAGGTGGTGGCAGAGGACCTGTCAGTCCCTGGCCCTCTTTTCTCAGGGCACCTGGTGGGCACGGAGGCCCCAGTCCCTCAGCTGCTTGGATCTGCAATGTCATCACTGGTTTCCACTGTCCCTGCGTCTCTCCTCTGAGTCTGCCTTCCTGCTCTCCTTCCTCTTCACTTGCTCCTGGGAGCCACTGTACCATCCGCCTCTGCTTCAGACTCTCGCTTCATGCTCTAGGCTCTCGCGAGAGTAAGGCGCCCGGAAGCGGCTCCACTAGGACCCTGTCTTCTGGGCGCCACAGACTTAACCAGTAATTGTTACAACTGGGAAGAAGTGGTTTCTTTGGGGAGTGCTCAGGTTCACCCAACTCTTCACCTTTTCTGGATGATTCTGGGCCTGGTGCATCATGTGGACTCGGCGAGCCGTGAGCACCAGCTCCCCATGGCGCCTGCCTGCCTCGTCCTGACACTCATGTCTGATCTGTAAACACTTTCTCTGCTTGCATGCTCTCCGCCGCCACTGTTTGCAGCAACCGCCTCTCTGTTGTCACCTGTCTGCTGGGGGCTGGGGCTCCGCCGTGCAGTCAGGAGACTTAGCAAAGCTTGACGCGATTGCCCTCCAGAAGCCTGCGCTCCACGGTGCCTGCAGCTCTGTGCTAGGCCATGTGCAGTCTCTGGGTCCGTGAGGCACCGCCTCCAAATGAGTGTGTGGGAGTACGTGTCAGTTTCCCTCCTCTTTAAGGCTGCATACTAGGCCATGGGCTGGGTGGACCACACTGTGTTTGTCCAGCCCTCCATGGAGGGCGCGTGGGTGGCTTCCAGCTTTTGGTCCTGGACTACTTTAGTTTTCTTATTTTATTTTATTTTATTTTATTGCCTCAAAAAGTGACATTTACTCAAAGGAAAAAAAGAGAAAGAGAAAAAAATGACAAGATGTCCATCCCTTGGCTCTCTTCTCTCCCCACTCCTGCTCCTTCTCAGCTTGCCAAGGACACTTGGCTGGGGTGAGGTAGCAGGCCAGCCCCTCTCAGATGAGGTCAGCAGCATTGAGGGGCATCTCAATGGAGGTGTAGAGCAAGCATGTCAAACTCAAAGGCTAACACGGGCCACAGAACCAAGGTTGAAGTGTATGCTGCCTGCAAAAAACAAAAGCTTCTATTTTCATAGAAACGTAGGTTTATTTCGATAGAGACATCCTGAATATGATACAAAGGGCTGAAATAAATGAGTCAATGTTAACATAAAATAACAGAACATTTTAATAAAAATTAATATTTTCCTTGAACATTACCTTACCAGACACTGAATAACTATCTTAATTAATAAGCATCACACAAATAAACCTATTTTTCTTGTTTTCCAAAGGAGAAATGTTTCCTGTGCACACACCAAACAAGTTAGTACAAGACTAAAGATGTGGCATCGGCTGCTAAACTATTGGTTGCTAGTATGAGTGGAGAGAAATGGTGCACCTGCCCGTAAGGCGCATAAGGGAAATGAATGCACCACAATTATAGTCATCAGTCATTAGCGAACGTTCATTATTAATAATTATGTATAAAGGAAGTTATTAAATTTTTATTAAAACGTTTCTTACATACCGTTATATTGGCTGGGCCGCACAAATAGCCTTGTGGGCCGCAAGTTTATGTTATAGAAGGTCTCAATGTCTCGAAGAGTCCTCTTGTCTTTGGCTGTGGACTACTTAAAAAATATATATTTTTATTGATTTCAAAAAGGAAGGCGGAGGAAGAGAGAGTTAGCAACATCAAGGATAAGAAAAAACCATTGATCAGCAGCCTCCTGCACAGGGATCAAGCCCCCTACTGGGGATCAAGCCTGAAACCTGGGCATGTGCTCTGATGGGGAATTAGCCAGGACCTCCTGGTTCACAGGCCGATGCTCAACCACTGAGCCACACCAGCCGGGCATGGACTACTTTTTAAAGGTCACTTCTTGACTTGAGATCTGCAATGTCATCACCAGGAGTATACAGGTAGTGGACCCTGCCAAGCAAAAGGAAAATGATTGTACAACTCTAACCAGTTTGGCTCAGTGGATAGAGCATCGACCTGCAGACTGAAGGGTCCCAGGTTCGATTCCAGTCAAGGGCATGTACCTTGGTTGCGGGCACATCCCTAGTAGAGGATGTTCAGGAGGCAGCTGATCGATGTTTCTCTCTCATGGATGTTTCTAACTCTCTATCCCTCTCCCTCCCTCTCTGTAAAAAAAAAAAAAAAAAATCAATGAAATATATTTTAAAAATAAAATAAAATGAGTACACATGGGGCGGGTCGAGGAGAGACTGGGCGCAGCTTCCAGGGCCCGGCACTGGTGTGACGACGTGCACGGCGCTGCCCTCAGGAAAGCATCCTGGGCGGCAGTGTGCAGGGACTTTCCTGGGAGTGGGTCCTGCAGGCCCGGAGTGCCCATGTGGCTGGCCTCGGCCTCAGTCTCCAGCCCCTGGAGGTCTAGGTTGTATATTGGGCCCAACCCCTCTCCCCCTCAGAAAGCACTGTCAGCATAAGACTACCTGCAGGGCGCTCGCCCGGCAAACCAAGGCCTCCTCCTCAGGCAGTGCTGCCAGATGCCTAGAACTCAGGTACCTGGAGGTCCCTCCCAGGAGCTGAGGGCCAAGGCCAGAACTTCCCTGGGAACATGCAGGGTCAGCCCTGAGCTGCACCCCATCCTTGATTTGGGCCCCTGGGGACTCGCCTTACAATTTTGTCACCTCTCCGGCATAGTTAAGGGGATGGCTGGTCCACCCTATAAAGAGTGGCCAGCCTGGGGTGGGGTGGGGTCCAGGTGACCCAGCCTGCTTATTTCTGGAAGTGGACTCCACCCCTTTCTCTCTTAAGATGCCCAGAGACCCCCCCTGACCTGAGAGGCCCCCTTGATCTGAGAGGGCCTGGGTGAGGATGGTGGGGAGGCAGGAGCCTATGTTCTGGGCTCAGCCCTGTGACCAACTGCCTGTGTAACCTGGAACAGGCCCCCTCTCCTGTTGGAGCCAGGTGATCACCCAGGCCTTTTCCATCTGGAATGTTCTCTGCTTTGTGATCAACCTCAGCAGGTGGGGACTGAACTGTCATTGCAGTGAGCAGCCGTCACCTCCAATAGCAAGTCCTCGTGCCATCCCCCTCCCCGACCCCGTGCAACGCGACTTGACACTTAGCGGCAGGAGCCTCGGTTCTCACAGAGGGAGTCTAATCAGAACCTTTTTCCTTCTCCTTTCTAGGTGTTTAGTGAAGACCTTACCAAGCCAATCATTGATAACATTGTGTCTGATCTCATTCAGATTTATACCATGGACACAGAGATCCCTTAAGGCCCTGGTCCAGGCCTGCCCAAAGAGAAGCCTGGGACGCCCGGCGGCCAGGGGGCGGCGCCACCACATCGCCGTGACCGCCAGTCCCCAGAGGACTGGCTGGGAGGACTGGTTTTGTGCTGCTGCAGACGGGCCGGTGAAGGCGATGACATGCTGCCACTTTGATTCTCAGGCTTTGACTGTCCCCGGCAGCCATGGTCCAGATGGTGACCGGGAGCAGCACCTCCCGCGGGCAGGAGCGTGCTGCGGGCGGCTCTGAGGCGTCCAGGTCTGCTTTTTGTCCTTTGAAAGGACGTAGACTACAGTCGAGGTTTGGGATCAGTGGAAGGAAACTCCAAGAATGGATGGGACTGTGTACCCCAGGGGATTTTTTTTAAAGGCCAGATTTATAGAAAGTATGAATGAATTAACATAGAGGAAATTTTATTTTGTTTAATAAAAGATATGACAAACCCACAGAGTTTCTTTGCTTTGTAGCTAGTGCTGCCGAGGGTGTTTAGGGGTGCTGTCCTGGCTTGGTTTCCCCTCAAATGCTCTGCTGTCCACGTGGGATTGTCCTCGGTGCTCCTGAGATGGTCCTGGGGCGGGCCCTGCATTGCCTCCTGAGGGCATGATGACACGGTGCATACCCATGTCATGCCGGTGTCTTAAAGGAGCCTACGTGTCATCACTCCTCCACTGGGACAGTCACAAGGCTTGGGGTTGGCAATTGTCCTGCTTGGTGGAATGAGCATACATTTTGGAAAGGGGGCTTAGGGATTGTCATTTGGGTTAAAAACAAAACAAAACTCACCATTTCCGACTAACATATAAGTAGGAAATTATACACTTTTTTCTAAGCATTAATAAACTTATTTTTAATCACCCGAGGGTATGATTTTTAAAAAAATATATTTTTATTGATTTCAGAGAGGAGGGGAGAGGGAGAGAGAAACATCAATGATGAGAGAGAATCATTGATCAGTTGCCTCCTGCATGCCCCCCACTGGGAATGGAGCCCACAACCCGGTCATGTGCCCTGACTAGGAATCAAACTGTGACCTCCTGGTTCATAGGTCGATGCTCAACCACTGAGCCACACCGGCCGGGCAAACATTATGATTTTTTAGAGAAATTTTAGGTTTATAGAAAAAATGATCAGGAATTAGAGATTTCCCACATACCTTTGTTTTCCCTCTTATTTCCTAGTACATCTTGTACATGTGTGGTACATTTGTTACAATTGATGAGCCAACATTGATACATTATTATTAAAGGCCATAGTTACATTAGGGTTCATTCTTTGGGTTGTAGATTCTATGAGTTCTGCCGAATGTATACTGACATGTGTCCATCATGACTCATACAGAAGAGTTTCACTGCCCTAAGAATCATGTGCTCCATTCATCACTACCTCCCTCCAAGTCCCTACAACCAATGATCTTCCAAAGCTCTTATACTTTGTCTTTCAGAAGTTCATATAGTTGGAATCACAGAGTATGTAAACCTTTACAAATTGGCATTTAAAAAAATATTTTATTGATTTTTTTACTGAGAGGAAGAGAGAGGGATAGAGAGCTAGAAACATCGATGAGAGAGAAACATCAATCAGCTGCCTCTTGCACACCCCCTACTGGGATGTGCCTGCAACCCAGTTACATGCCCTTGACCGGAATCGAACCTGGGTCCCTTCAGTCCCCAAGCCGACGCTCTATCCACTGAGCCAAACCGGTTTCGGCAGATTGGCATTTTTCACTGAGCAGGAAGTAATGTTTAATGCCAAGATACCGAGTCTAGATGGGGAGAGAATCACAGAACCATGGCACCCCATCCCCATCCCGACTCCCACTCAAAAGACCCCTCTTTTATTTTTTTTAATCCTCATCTGAGGATAATTTTTCCATTGAGTTTTAGAGAGTGGGAGGGCGGGAGGGAGAGAGAAACATCAATTGGTTGCCTCTTGTACTGACCAGGGCTGGGGATTGAACCTGTAACGGAGGTGTATGCCCTTGACTGGGAATTGAATAAGTGACCTGTGGAAACCCCTTTCACATCCTGCGTGATTCAGGGTTCTGGTTCAGGGTTCGGGTTCTGGAGAAGGCCGCACAAAAATGAAAAGAGACTTTAGAAAAGATTTAATTTGGGAAATGGGGGCCAGGTAGTAGTCCAACTCTAGTAGGAGGACTACTCCTCACTCTGGCTTTTCCATCCCTTTTATTAAGATTAAAATTATAGGATACACCCATATGCCCTAGGAAGGGAACTCCAATAAAAACCAATCAGTGAATTTAGGACTAACAGGTGGGGTTGCTTCAACTACCAAAATCTAGTAATTAGCTCTGACCCTTTAGAGCAATTAAGGTTGACCAGCACTCCAAATTCCCTGTCCACAGCTTTCTATTATTAAAACAATGATCGGCTTCTGGCAGTTACCTTTTGGTCTATAGGTGGATTCTCTAACTATTGGGCAAGTTGGGCCAGGGTGGCACCTCTTTTTAAAAATAAATATGTTTTTATTGATATCAGGAGTGGAGAGGGAGAGAGAAACATCAATGATGAGAGAGAGTCATTGATCAGCTGCCTCCTGCATGTTCCACACTGGGATTGAGCCTGAAACCTGGCCTGTGGCATGACATGGGTTAGTACTCAACCACTGAGCAACACCAGCTGGGCTCAAAAGGCACCTCTCCATAAAGGACGGTTTTTGGGAGCATTAGAGAAGCAGACCAGCCTGGATTCTCTCTGGGAACTCCCACTGGGCTCAATGCACACTGATGGGACCATCCTATCAACACATGATGGTGTAGGGTCTGGGGTACTGTCCCAGGCACTTCACTTCATTTGGGAGGTTGTTACCAGGGGAGTGTGGGCTGTGGACAGTGGCTTCCATGTCCTAGGGTGCCAATGGTATGGGGATGGCTGAAGTGCCTGGAGCCCACCAAGGTGCTTTGGTGCTCTCCTCCCTGGTTGGGCCACAAGGAGGAGTCACACACTCGTGACCGTCAGGCAGTGGGCCTTGCTTGAGTTTATAAAGTGACCTGGCTATCTTCAGAGTCAGGGATCCAAGCACATGTCCCCTTTTCTTCTGTGTCCTTCCCACATGTGTACACCCAGCTTCACTGGGAGCCCTTGGAGCACAGGGCTGGCACCCAAGCTTGGGCCCAGGGCTGGGACTCTGGGCTTGGAGGGTAGCAGATGAGGGGCCCAGCCCTGCTGGCCTATGAGGCCAGCTTCAGTGCTCTTGCCAGTCCTTTCTGCTTCTGCTGTTTAAAAAGCACTCACATCCGGCTGGCGTGGCTCAGTGGTTGAGCATCGACCTATGAAGCAGGAGGTCATGGTTCAATTCCCAGTCAGGGTGCATGCCTGGGTTTTGGGCTCAGTCCCCAGTGTGAGGCATGCAGGAGGCAGCTGATCAATGATTCTCTCTCATCACTGATGTTTCTATTTCTCCCTCTCCCTTCCTCTCTGAAATCAATAAATATTAAAAATAAAATAAAAAGCACCTTGCCTCTGTCATGCCCTTCTTCCCCGAAATCGGGCACAGGCACCCCGACCCTCCGTCCCCCAGGCCTTGCCTATGCTGTGTTGACAGGGCTCTGCACTTGGCCAGTACTGACTATTGATTTGAATAGAACTAAGAGATGGATGTTTCACTTTGGGATTCCCTGTCATCTCGGCTCTGACAGAAACTTCCATTTCTTTGCATCTCCTCAGGGTCAGCTCCAGGGAGGCAGCTGCCCCATGCACTTGACCGGAGGCCTGCTCTCAGCTCTCAGAAGGCAGAACCCCTGCTCTGGAGTGGAGGGCTCTCCACCTATGTCTGCTCCAATGTGTCCCCTCCCCACATCCGGCCCAGGGCAGGTCAGAGCCAAGGGGACAGTGGTAAAGCTCCCTAAGGAATCAATGAGCATCCTTACATGCCGATGATAGCTACCATGCTGACCCAGGAGAGCATGGCCCAGAAAGCTCTGAATGGCGGGGGCTAATGCAGTCTTTGTGGGGATTTTGTGAGTCTAGGTTTCCTTTTCTTTCTCTTTTTTTTAAAAAAATATGTATTTTATTGATTTTTAGAGAGGAAAGGAGAGAGAGAGAGAGAGAGAGAGAGATCAATGATGAGAGAGAATCACTGATTGGTTGCCTCCTGCACACCTACTGGAGATCAAGCCTACAACCCGCATATGTCCTTGAGAGGAATCAAACCTGGGACCCTTCAGTCCACAGTCTGATGCTCTATCCACTGAGGATACTTGGATACAGGATATAAATGTGGTATTTGTTTGTTCATTTGGGCTTCCTATTAGCATAAAAAAATGAGGATTAAAGATATATAATGTCCCCTCTTCTTTATTTTAGTGTCAAAAAGATCAGCAATGAGCCCAGCCAACGTGGCTCAGTGGTTGAGCATCGACCAATGAACCAGGAGGTCATGGTTCGATTCCCATTCAGAGCATATGCCTGGGATTTCTGATTTGATCCCCAGTAGGGGGCGTGCAGGGGGCAGCTGATCAATTGTTCTCTCTCATCATTGATGTTTCACTCTCCCTCTCCTTCCTCTCTAAAAATCACTAAAAATGTATTAAAAAAGAAGAAATATGAAAATAATTTAAATAAGGTCAGCAGTAGGAGATCGAGAAGATTATCTTGGACCAGAAGCTCCCAGGGAGCTTTTCAGTCCAGAGCACATCTTCATGACTATAAAGTGATAAATGGCTGAGCCTTACTCTGCATGTCAACCTGGTAGAAGGAAGATGGCAGCCAGGTCCTATGAGGGACTTGACCCATCTCTTCCTTTCCAACTGTGATGGAGTGAATGGTATCCCCCAGAAGAGGTATCCACATCCTAATCCCTAGGGATGGGACCATTTTTGGAAATCGAGTCTTTGCAGGTGTTGCCAAGATGATATGAGATCCTACAGGAGTGTGTGCATGTGCGTGTGTGCGTGTGTGTGACAGGGTGGGGGGCTAGTGAAACATGACTGGTGTCCTTAGAAGAAGAGAGGAGACACCCAGAGAGGGAGAAG